TTAAACCCATGATTCGATCTTACATCCAAGATCTTATGCAACAGAAGTGGGACGCCCAAGTAGGTATCAATAAATTACATGAAATTAAACCAAATATCGGTTACACCTACTTGGGCTGTCAGTCCAGATTTGAAGAGGTCATTATGCGACGATGTCGTATTGGCCATTCAAGATATACACATGAGTATCTTTTAAATGGTGAGGATCCTCCGTTTTGCATCCCTTGTGATGAAAGAATCACGGTCAAGCATGTCCTGCTTGACTGTATTGATTTTTCCATCACAAGGGATAAATATTTCAGTGTCAAAACAGTTAAGGACCTTTTTAATGATGTTAATTCTCATTTAATATTAAGTTTTTTAAAAGAAATAGAACTTGTCCATAAATTTTGATGTGCTTAATGTATTATTTTATAAATTGGTAGTGCTAATAAATAACTTAGATTGTGAGTGGCTGTACCCTCGAGGGGGGTTGAAGTAGCGTAAAATTATTGTCCCCCTAAGAGGGTATGTAAGTCCCAAACCAATCGTAGTATTTTTATGCATACCAGACTTTTAAATCGTAGTATATTTGTTAGTTTTATTCAATGGCTAAACTTGCATATAATCGCCAGTGACTGAAGGGATGGTGTAAATCCTGCCAGGGTCCATGCAGGAAGCAAAGGTACTGTAAGTCCCCATGGTCCCTGGTGTGGTGATCTCCCTTAAGTTACTGACGATCTCTAGCCCATTTTTATATTGTTTTGTTCCTTAATACTTAATTCTTTTAAATGTTCCGCAACTAGTTTTAAAATCTTATCTGTGATATTCTAGTTCTCATACTGTCCTTCGATGACAGATTTTTATAAAGTTTAAATATATGTATATTTCATGTCTAATTGCTCGTCGCGATATGGCTGAAATATTGCCGATGTGACGTAAAGCATTACCTCACTCACTCACTCACAAGAAGCGAACCACTACGGAGACGGGTGACGTTCTTGACTTCACCGCAAATCCCGGACACAGCCTTAGAAACAGCAAAAGGATTCAATTTGATAGGTAAGTTATCAGTAGCCTCAATCACCAGGAATTTTGCCCAGGAATCAATAGTTTGCGAAAGATTTCCAGTTGAAATTTCAATTTCCTCTAGACGTCTCTTTTTTTCATTACGAGATGAACCAGATTGTGGGAGAGCCATGGTGAAAAGAAAATGATTCAGCACCCCTGTTCCCCACCCCCCATCGAGTGTCAACAAGGACGGTGTTATATTGCACCGGATATCCAGGATGCAAACACCAGGGATACAGAGATGGTATACTCCAGCAAATATGACGTGAATAGCTATATTTATCTACCAGATGTAGTGCCAGGAAGGTTCAGTCCATGACAAGAAACTGGAGACATACAGAATACAGAGGTCAACATCACCAGATTGGCCCATGAGCCACCGCCTTCTGGCGTAAGACTCTAGGCAATTTATTCAATCCAAAATGGAGAAGTCACACAAGTTATTCACGGCCAAGACCAAAATATACATCAAAATACAACACAGTAGTGCATACACAATATTACGCACAGGGCCTGGCATGACCAGCCGATTGATAAGACCGGGCCCATCTTACCACCCGTCTAGGCGAAGTAAGGGTCGAAGTAGTGTGTTGGGCAAAGGAACACTGTTCCTGGAACCAGTGCCCTCAACTACCAGACTTCCGTCCTCCGCCGACACAGGGACGCAGCCCACGGCAAACGGGCTGCCCACTTTGGTCGCCTCTTACAATCAGCAATGGGGTGCTGTGGAAATATTCTACCCCGGTTCCACACGGGGGAAGAGCTATTAGCGCTACCCAGCACTCACCACGAGGAGGTTGCTCTTCACGAGTGCCCCATTTACGTGACGTTTCTGCAAAGGCCATTTAATGTGTTTCCGAAAGGGGGAAAAGAAAAGAAGTGGTGGTGCAACCCAGGAGGGGGGTTTAAAGGGTTGCTTATCTTTTGAGATTTTGAGATTTGGAATGAATGCCAAGAGTGGGTAGGGTGCGAACTTAGGGAGCTGTGTGTGGTGGGTTTGTTAGTTTATGTGATTTTGGTTTTATTAGTTTATTTGGGGTTTAAATGCGACTAATTAGTCCTGTTTTAATTAGGTATATGCCTAAGGCTTTGAATTTTTCTAATTTATTTTGTGGATTTAGGAATACTTCTAGTGTAAGTCCGGTTTTAAGATTTAGGGTGGTCTGTAGTGTTGTTCGGTGTGTTTGGTAGTGTGTGCAGTGAATGAGGACGTGTTCTGGTGTTTCTTGTTGTTTGCAATGTGGGCAGTTTCCTGTTGTGTGTAGATTAGCTATTTTAACGGTGATTATTTAGTTTGGTGTGGCCTGTTTGTAGTTTAGTAATTATTCTGTCAATTTTTTTGGATGGGTGTAGTATTTTTGGTTTATTTAGGTTTATTTTGAGTACTTTCCTGATTTGGCTATTTGAGTTTTGGTATATATTTTGCCATTTTTGATTAGTGACACTTTTAATTTCTGATTTTGAGATAGGTAGGTTTAAGCTTATTCTGGGGGTTTAAGGGATAATTTGGATGTTTTATCGGCGTTTTCATTGCAAAAGATCCCTACGTGGGCGGGGATCCAAATGAATTCTATTTGCTTGCCTGCCATAGTTAAGTCGTTTGAGCTTTTGAGTATTTGGTTTATTAGTTTGGGGCGTTTTTTTTTGTTTTTATTTTTGTGGGCTTGCAGTCCACTGAGGGAGTCGGTTAGAATAAGGATTTTTTTTAGATTTCTGATTGTGTAGTGCTGAGGTCATGCCAATTAGTTCGGCCGTGAATAAGGGTTGATTGTTTGGGAGTCGGTAGGATTGGGTGAGGATCCGTCTGTGTATATGTGACATCAATTTGGCCAATTGTAGTGTATGTATGCTAGTGTGGTGGTTGTAGCGATGATAGGGTCAGTCTGTTTATTTAGTGTTTTGGCTTGTGTTGTGTCTATCTTAGGTATTTTAAGTTTTGGGGTGAAGATATTTGATTGTTTACAGTTTTGTTTGAGATTATTTATTTTGTGTTCATTTGGGTAATTGATTATTCTTTTAGATATTTGGGTAAGTAGTGGATGTTTCCGGGCTAGGGCTTGGTTTTTGGCGCTAATATTGTTGTTTATTATGTTTTGGATTAGAAGGTTTGATTGGGACGCGGCCCAGAAGTTTAGGGTTTGTTGTTCCCTACGTAGTTTTAGTGGCATTTCTACTGTTAAGGCCTGGAGTGATGTGCTGGAAGTGCCATGTTGAGTTCGTGTGATTAGTTTTAGAGCCTGATACTGGTGGAGGCCCCTTGGGGGGGGGGGGGGGGGGGGGGGGGGGCGAGGTTATCTAGGGTTGAGCGGCCAGGAGTGAAACCGCTTTGGTCTGATTAATTATGTTGTTTTGTTCTAAATGGTATTGTAGCCTGATTTTTGCCATTGATTCCATTACTTTGCATAAGTTAGAAGTTAGGGAAATCGGTCTGTATGAGTTAGCCTGGTAAGCTGGTTTGTTTGGTTTGGGGATCGGTATGACCAGAGCTTGTTTCCAAGTTGATGGGACCTCTCCATTTAGATATATGAGGTAATAGAGTTTTAGAAGAGTTTGTAGTAGTTTGGGGGTTAGTTGTCCAATTATCTGGTAGGAAGTAAGGTCTAAGCCTGGGGCTGTGCCCCTTTTCCTATTTATGAGGACGTGGAGTAGTTCTTCCATTGTGTATGGGAGATTTATTTCTAGGTTATTATCTTTTGGTTCTTTGGTAAATTTGGTTTCCGATTTTAGTTGTTCCTGGAATTTTAGGTTGAAGTTGCTATTACTAATGACGGTCGAAAAGTGGTTTGCTAGGTTGTTTGCTTTTTGAGAGGGGTTGGTTGAATTGTTAATGCTGGGAGTTTTTGTGACGTTTAATGCCTCTAATGGCGTGGATTTTGCGCAAGACCGTTCTGGCGTCCGTGTGGTGATTAATTTCTTTGCAGATTTTTTTCCAATTTCTTGTTTGCTTTTTGAGAGGGGTTTGTTGAATTGTTAATGTTGGGAGTTTTTGTGACGTTTAATGCCTCTAATGGCGTGGATTTTGCGCAAGACCGTTCTGGCGTCCGTGTGGTGATTAATTTCTTAGCAGATTTTTTTCCAATTTCTTGTTTTGAATGAATGCTATGAGGCAGAGAGCATATATATGTACATGTAAGGACAGCAAACAGTGAGCTCAGGTAAGTTTATTAATGATGATATTTTCATTCATTCGTGCAATAGATGTGGCAATCATGAGCGCTGACTCTATATGTGTTCGAAATAGAACATTTGGAAGAAATAACATTTACTTACAAGACTAGTACACAATAAAGCCATTAAGTGAATATTAAATAAATTGATTCACAATATGACAACATCAAATCCTATATTTGTTTAATGCAACAGGTTTAAAGCATTCAAAATTGAACAATCATGATTATAAAATACAGCATGTTTATATATGTGTGTCGATATCCCTCTCATGTCAAATACACAATGAATAATAATAAACTGTAATTTAAAATTACTAAAATGTACATCCTACGTGGTGGATTTGCACTAATGTAATAACTTAAGAATTAATTCATATTTTAAGATACGTATTAAGTATTAAATAGTTCAATAGCTTTTCTTAATAATTGAACACCTTTCTATCAACCGCACCTAACTGTTGACCACTTGTTTTTGTTCTGTTTCAATGTATATATGTAATATGATATGTATAATATAATTTTGCTGCTGAAATTAGAAACAGAGTGATGGGGTTGGTACTACACATGTATACGGTTCTATTTAAAATGACTGCAGCACTCCATTATGAAAACAAATTGTTTTAACGCCGCTCTCAGCAGTATTCCAGTGATGTATGACGTCGGTTTGTTGTATATGAAATACATTTTTCGTAGAACTTGTTCCAGCGGCCTCTGCCGTTCCCTAAAAAAGGCGTCACATGGAAATATGTGCCTCTGCCACGGACTCTCGCCCATCTGTTACCAGCATATGGATAGGGTTGGTATCTATGCCAACCACGGCCTCTTCCATGTCCATAGCTAGTAGCCTTGTGACCAAGTCGAGTTGACATAGCAATGTCTTTCAAGTGTTTGGCCACATCCTCCTCGAATAGGTAATCTGAACTTTTCGGAGAACTTGGGGTACACAGTGCACGATAGTGATAATTCAACTGTGGTTTTATCAGTTCCTTCCTTCTGAGGTTTAATTCTCTATGGACATAAGCCGACACTTGGAAACAATATCTCTGAACAAAGTGGCTGGCACCTCTTGCTTGTGAGCAATTAAACTGTTCAGTGTATTTGTCACCGCTTGGGTCGACTTTATCATTCGACTCTGGACACGCTGCATTTTTACGTCCATCGAACATGTGTCAGATTGCAGGGAATCCCATATTAGCTTGTTAATTTCGGGCGTGTTCAAATCCGAACAGTTAGCTGGCTTTTTCAGGTCTTATAGTTTCTGTGCGATGACCACGTCATCAAACTTGGTAGTGAATACCTGATGAACCAATTCAGCCAGTTTGGTGTCAATTGGGTCCCCATCAGTCGTTGTTATCGGCAGAGTTTCTCTGACGAGGTTTACAACTTCTAAACCGGAAGGATCGGCACTGATTTCGTCATGCACGACTTCTTCACCACTAAGTAGTTCTGTTGCTATGTCAACAGTACCTTTTTTTCGTAGATTTGCTCAGTATGTGCCTGATTTGGCGGAATATAATCATCATCATCATCCTCATCCTCATAAATAAAATTCTGCTCATAATCGTGACTGCCGATTCTTAGCCGGATTGTAAACACTTGGTCAAGACTCAATGATGATGTTTATCTTCAAAATGAATATTTCTTGAAAAGCGCACTTTGTAATGTTGTTATTACTGTAAGAAACACTCCTTGTCGGTGGAGTAGTTTGTTTTCACTTTGCAAAGAAGCAGCACACATGCAGCTATTTTTGTTTTATCATATAATGGGAAGGTTTCTCGGCAGGATGAAGCCAACGGATGAAAACGATATTCGTTTGGGTCATATGCGGATAGAGATGCAAATATCAAAGGTCAAGTAGGGACTACTTTCACTGTTTATAAACAAACATGGCGTCGCCCTTGTCATTCGGCGATCGAGTCAGAATTAACCATCGGGAATCTGGATAAACTACAGGGATAATTGCTATCAGTATCAAAAGAACAGTCTAATATACTGAAAATCTGTGTCTAACTGTGACGTAGCTAAGGCATTTTATAAGTTTGGTCAACTTTGGAGATATAAATTTCGAAACAATTTGGCGAGGGCACGAGGCCTAGCCAAGCGGGATCAGTAGCAATATATGTGCTTGTAGACCTCTGCGGCTTGAAACCTCCTCCACAAATTAAAAAAGATGGATTTGGCGGAAATATGTTTGAATTGTTACCTTGTTTCGTTTTGTCGCTGTGTATACATCTGACTACACTTCTTATCGTTATGACAGGACAGACCGACTGTCAACAATGTCTGACCGTGGCCGTGACGTCTCATAGACTAGGGTTAGAGTAGCTTCCCTTTGACAAAGGGCAGTTACTCTAGCGGACAGACCGATGGATTGCCGCGAAAGGCAATTAAAAACAATTGTTGTTTTGCGTATATGTTGCTTCGCCACTGTATAAGAAACATATTTCAGTTGGAACTATATTGGCTACTGCCACTGTCCGACTTACACATCACTTACCCTGTGACGTAATAAATATTAATGCGCGCATTCCAGGAAAACTCGCAATGTTTCGGTAATGTTTGTGAGAGAGGGAAAGCGATTTTGAAGCACAGAATTAAAGAATGACATTTTATGATAAGGAGGTTATCACGCGAGTGTGTTTGGGGATGGTAAATATCCGGCATTAAGAATAAACATTGTATTTAGCGAGCCTTGGCGATTATCGCGATATTTTACACCCAATTCACTTCCAACTTTCCTCCCATATCAAACTGACACATCGTAAAAGAAATACTGTTAAAAGGGGCGATAAACACTTAACCTTAAAAACTTTTATTTCTGAGCATTTTCGGCTAAATCCAAATCTAATGCTACACTCAAGAAAAGGAAAACTAATAGCCCAAAACTATATGTTACAGGGATAGTTCATTTCGAAAAATGACAAGCTGTGGTTGTGTGTGGAGGTGACATTTATTCAATTGATTCAGCAATCAATCCCTCAGTCAACCACCCTGTAATAAAACATAACATTATATACTTATATATACTATAGTATTTAAAGATACACAAGTTACATCAGAGGTTGAACAGTCACATTAACCAATACATGCAACACATAGAGTTACACATCACTAGTCCATTCTCTTTTCCATGCGTTCGTTCATCTTGCGAAATTCGTCAAGCAAAAGTCCCAGAAGCATCGGGCGCATGATGATGAGGGGAAGTATGATCTGCTTGAGAAGTGGCAGAAGCCGTCGATGTTGACGATTAAGGGGATTTAGTGGCTTTTGGTTTCCCTTTAGAGGATTTAGACACACCCGCCTCGACAGGACGGGGACTTTTCAACACGGCCTCAGCCATTGTTTTGACTTGTGGAAAGTTTCGAGCGTAATTTTACGCTTAGATCTACATAGTAGCAAGTTAATAATAACTTTGACTATGACCACACAGTGTAATTATAGACTGTCTGATAGCAAATGAGTTGAAAATTTACTAACTCTAAATGCGTCTGCACTCGCATGCGCATTGCAATCTCAAGGAATCTCGAACATAACGTGATTAGCTGATAGAACCAACAGTAAAGATGTAAACATGTATATACACATATACATATTGGACAATAGACAGGCGAAGAGTAATGGCGTTACCCTGGACATCGGACTCATGGATGTGATTACAGTGAGTGAGTGAATTGCCTCCTAAAACGAAAGAGTATCTGTCACTTAAATTTGATGATTATGGTATAGAAAATATAGGAAATATCGAGTTACAAACCCTTGCTTTATATTGCACATGTACCACAACCACTGTAGTGGACTGCGCCACAACGACAGGATAAGACGTTAAGTATGTTAAAGCAGGTTCGGCGAGTCCAACCAGCGAACTGTAACGCCATGTCTTCAAGCGAAACACATCATTAGTCCATTGTAGATAACTTATATTATATACAATTTGTAGATATATATATATATCTTAAATGTCTCTTATCATAACTGAATATATTAGTTACACACTATATAGTTAAAAGAATACTAGTTATCGTACGGCGTCATAAATATATACTTATTATCACTAAAAGTAGTGTTATAACGTTAAAATGCATCCCCAAATCCTTCGAAAAATTGTAACAAAGTCAACGTTTAAATTGATGGTTATGGCTTTAAAACCGATGGAGACGGAAAGTTGTAGTGTCGGCGCAAACAAGCAGGAAATCAATAGGGCGATGACAGTGGTGGGATATTTCGGGATAGCTTCGGTGGTGTTGCCGCCAATTAATCAATAGACATCTTTTAATCGGTAACTAGGTTCCGGTAAATTTCCAATCACGACACAAACACGAGCTCATGGTCTGATATTGTTTTTAATCAATTAAAATGATATATGAGCACATGTGACATAGACAGCCCAGACCTGAACACTATGAAATGATACCGTCAACATTAGGAGAGGAGAGCGCGTTTTGCAGTCGATCGAGTCGAATCCCGATCGTTCTAAGTTCTCCCCATTTAGTGACGAGCCTGGCCGGTCTGATCCTGTCGTTTATTGATAGATGGACTGCGAGTAAGTAAAACTAATGTGAGAATAAACCTCTTTAGTATGCGAATATAAATGCTGATGGAGACAATTTGGAGAAAGCGTCGTTAGACCTATCACTCCTTGACTGAGCTGAGCCGACCCTGACAAGGCGAGTTGCAAAGTCATGGCTTAACTGACCATGATGACAAGGAACGGCAATACGTTTAGGTAACTGTAGTAGGGTCCCACTTGACCATCGAAAGTAGTTACGACATTGTGGAGAATGCGGGTTTGTACTTGAAGAAAATGTTTAAGACGATCCAAATATTTGTTTTTCGTATTATCGTTGCCATTCTTCAATTCCATCGCCCCGCCTAGACTTATGTTTGACAGTAGTTTCATTTTTAGATGTATGGATAGGGTATTCTGGTCTCACATGATGTAGCTGGGATTGTAATGTCTCATACACCAAATTCTGATGGATCTTCATCAGTTGACCGTCTTGTCCCAACTCGCCTCCCTACTGGTATGAGTTTCACAAATTACCCCCCCCCCCTTAGTTCTCATAACTCAACCAGCATCCCTACCATCCCTTCCTCCCCAGGACCCTTCTCCCCCTATTTCTGAGCAGAAATTGGACTTAAATCCCTCTGACGAGGAGCTTTTACATCAGTACGCTTGTGTTCTCCCTGACCGTTTCCTTCCTTTTGGTAACTTTAAAAAGTGGAATGATGCAGAGAAAGTAGAAGTTTTTCCACTATTTTTTTCGGCGTATCTCTGGTACATAGGTCTTATACAATTGCTAGAGGAAGATATCATCATTTTTCGATGAGGTTGAGAAGGCATGAGGATGACATTTCCAACTTTTATGCATCAGTGTCCAAAAAGATGTCCGATACAATTCGCTATTTTGACTTGCACCTCGAAGGGTTTCGACCCTGTGAAGATGATATCGATGCCTGCTTGGTGCTTAAATACTGTACATCAAATCGTCTAACTTATTCAGAAACTTCAAGAATATCTGTCAAACAGTCACATCGAAAAGCTTGTTCTAGATGGACCACACATCTGTGCATTAAAAAAGTCAATGTATAATGTATTATAGTATTACCTCAACTGATTTGTTTAATCTCTCTGGAGTTGAAATTCCGATATTAACTGCCGTTATCATAAAACAGACGGGCGTGGTGAGCGGAAAATTATACTCGTAATACTAGTGATTAAATAACAGTAATCTCCACGACAGACGGCATTGATCGTTTTAGTTACGCGTCGATTTCGAAATTGAAACAATAAGTTAACCCAGATTTCTACACGTACAGAATCCATTGTGAAACCAACAAATAACGAAGAAATAAGCTTTTCCATTTGACTGTTAGATAGGTATTGTTGAAGTTTGTGAATAAGTAAGAAAACGTACAACTTTGTGGATAACAACTTCTGTTTTTTTGCGACGTTTCGATGCAGATTCAAGTGAAGGGGCTGCCGCACACGCCTCGGACAAAAATGTAATCGTACATATAGTGTCACAGCCTTTGACCCCATACCAGTGAGTGAGTGAGTTAATATTTAAAGTCACATCGGCAGAATTTCAGCCATATCGTGACTTGAACAAGTTAGGCATTGATATTATATTAACCCCATACCAAGTACTAACTCATGTTGGACATTATGACCAGTCAACATCATCATCGTGCTCCAGTACTCATGACAGTGGTGACATCGTAAAACATATACATGTGTATTTAGCTATTGTAGTAGCTGGTGTTTCATGACCAAATATCATATGAGGCCTATGTGAACCTTGGCACCTAGTACCCTGTCGCACTTTATCAGAGTTACATCTAAGCACGGATTTCCCAAATCGAGACACCGTCAATAAGATTATGAAAACAATGTCCAGTGGCAACGTCCTGCAGGAAGCACTGGCGTATTTAGCAATGCCAAGGCATTTGGACCCAGGGTGACACTACTGTTAGCATTCCAACATGCAAGATGGGATCCTCCTTGTGCAACACAGGAATCTCCAACATCATCATCATCATTAGAGAACATTGTACTATACGGCGCTCCACTATAAAAGAGGACCGCCTCCGTGGTCTAGTGGTAGAGCGTCCGCCCGGAGAGAGGAAGGTCCGGGGTTCAATCCCCAGCCGCGTCATACCAAAAGACGTTAAAAGATGGTACTTGTTGTTACCCTGTTTGGCGCTCGGCATTAAGGGGCTAAAACAAGGACTGGTCGGCTCGGAGTCAGTATACTGTGTCTGAGAGGGGTATTCATGTTAAACTGCGGCGTGGTATCTCAGTCTGCTAGCACTATAAATCAGCATCAGTCCGGACAAGTACAAGCAGCCACACACACACATACACATACACGTGCATGCACGTCGCTATGTAAGTGCAATAATCTTTGACGCGACGTTAAACCCCATTTCACCTCACCTAACCTCATCACCGCCTCCGTGGTCTTGTGGTAGAGCGTCCACCCGGAGAGCGGAAGGTCCAGGGTTCGATCCCGGGCCGCGTCATACAAAAAGACTTTAAAAGATTGTACTTGTTGTTACCCTGTCTGACGCTGGGCATTAAGGGGCTAAAACAAGGACTGGTCGGCTCGGAGTCAGTATACTGTGTCTGAGTGGGGTATTCATGTTAAACTGCGGCATGGTATCTCAGTGAGCTAGCACTGTAAATCGGCATCAGTCCGGACTAGTACAAGCAGCCACACACACACATACACGTGCATGCACGTCACTATATAAGTGCAATAGTCTTGGACGCGACGTTAAACCCAATTTCACCTCACCTCACCTCACCTCACCTCACCTCACCTCACCTCACCTCACCTCACCTCACCTCACCTCACCTCACCTCACCTCACCTCACCTCACCTCACCTCACCTCACCTCACCTCACCTCACCTCACCTCACCTCACCTCACCACTATAAAGGACGGTCCCTCGTACCGGTGCACATGCACAACCAGATAATATTATAAACACGCCCGTCTTTCAACCTGTTCAATACTTATTTCGTTATTGTCATTTCATGCTGGTTCTCTCAAGTAAAGTGATCGAACAAATGGAACTCTGTTCTTACTTAATCATCATCATCATCATCTTATACACATAATTCACACAGCCCTGGCATCCTCGATCAAGGATCCACTGATAACAGTTCAGTGGGAGATTTCATCTGGAGATGTTTTTGGAGAACTTTCATTACCTTCGCGAACTATTACCTGAGAGACATCTGTATATACTTGTACAATACACAGAAATGTCATAAAGGGCAAGAATGGTGTCTAGCCGGGAGAGCCACATTTCAGAAATGGCTATTGCCGGTAGAGCCACATTTTCAGCTGAGAGCATTTCACCTATTTTAGCGGGTAATTAATTAATCCGATTACCGATACCTTTAAATGAGTGTCCCACATTTAAATTACATCCTCATCTTCACTACAGACAAGAACATTGATCATTTCCTGGGACATTAGTTAGAGGGTGTTTCTTTCACTTCACCCAATGTATCTGGAGGAGGGTGCAGAAAGAAGGTCTGGTGATGGACTATAAGGAAGATAAGGAGGTGAAGAAGCTGGTGAGAAGAGCTGCTGCCCTCCCTCTAGTACCTCATGACAAAGTGGATGATGTGTGGCTTGATACTGACTCTCCTGCTTGCCCTAAAGTGACTGCCTATATGGACTACGTGACAACCAGTTGGATTCAAGTAGGGGCCTTCATGCCAGAGATTTGGAACCATTTCGAAAACCAAGGCCACTGTACCAACAATCACCTGGAAGGGTGGCACAACAAGATAAAGAAACTTGCCAAGAAGTGCCACCCGAACAT